GCAGTTTGTGCAGAGATGTTTGCTTTGATCTATCATTATAACAGCAGTTTGTGCAGAGATGTTTGTTTTGATCTATCATTATAACAGCAGTTTGAGCAGAGGTGTTTGTTTTGATCTGTTATTATAGCAGTTGACTGTGAAGCGTTATTTTTTAAACTATGAATTGCAGCAATTGTTTGTGCAGTGCTTTTGTTTTGCTCTTTCATTGCAGCACAATTTGTGTAAGCTTTTGTTTTGATCTGTAAATAAAGGATTATTATTGTTTCTATTGAAATGAATTTAATTTAACAGGCCCCCTCACGAGCCAGTGGGGGATATTTTTGTTGAAAAAAAAACTACCCAATCCGGTTTTTCTTTATTTAAACAGCAATTTTTTGGACATCTTTATTGGCTAAAAAGAAGGCATTTCCCGCATTCTTTTAGCGTTGGGACTGCGAAATGTGATTTGAAATGGTAAAGAGACTGACATCACGAGCTCTTAACGGTCAAGCACAAGAAGAATGGAAGTCTCCAAATGACACGTAAAGGTATTGAGGAACCGTTTAGAACCACTTTGGTAGATATTGTACAGCAAGCCGAGAACAAAATTATGCCTGTAGCTGCTTTCAAAATGTTCCTGTCTGCTCATCCTACTGCTGACTATCGTGATGCTTCGACCTTCCCTACCGAATCGCTGGTGAAATCATTTGTATCTCAGTTGGAAGCTAAACATAAAAAAGGTGATAGCAGAAGCTACTATGAAATATGACATAGAAAAATCTATTTGGTCAATATCTGTTATAATTACTGCTTTGTCATCTGTGACTACAGAAATTTCCGTACTATCTTAGCCATGTCTTAGCCGTACTATCTTAGCCCAATCCAGTCCCAGAATATAACTGACCAGCTTAACAGCATCGCCCAATCACGACACGAATGGAGTGTAATGGAAACGTGCCATAGGACACATAACAGGTTCAGTTAGAAATAACTTAAAGTAACTGGTGGAAAAAATAGTCAAACTGTTCAGTCTGCTGCTCACTTAAAGGGCTGACTTTAGCAACACTAACTTTCCACCAATTAGATATACAACTTCAAATATTGACAGGTCGAATATAAAATAAGAATCTCCCCCACCCCTTCTTTATTTTAAGCTCTTGAAATCAATGATTTGATCACGCCTTTTTGTCAACGATACATCTGTATCACAAATAGAAAGGCCAGTTGGTGAATCACTTGTTCTGACGTTAATTTGTTTCGTTTCTTCAGTGAAAACCGCTATTTAGGAAGTAGATATTGATTTGTTTGTTGTTACTAATAAAGTTACAAAATGGCTTATCTGTGCTGTGCACAGGGGTAGTGGTAAAAA